CTTTTCCTTTTTTTTTTTTTTGGAGAGAGGGTCTCTTGTAGCCCAGGCTGGGATCCAGCTCCAAGCTTGGCGTTTTGAGCCTTCTGCCTCAGCCGCCTGAGTGCTGGGATGCCAGTCCCGGTGTGCACACTCTTCTTTAGGTCAGTTGTGGTGGCACACATATAGTCCCAGGAACTTGGGAAACTGAGGCAGAGGGATAATGATTTCCAGGCCATCCTGGGCTGTAAAATCAGACTTCCAACACTAAATAAATAAAATAAAAATAAAGGAACATTGTAAGACCTTTATAAGACAGCCGGAGGAGGGTGTGGGCGTATAGGGTGTTGACAGGCCTATAACAAGAGAAAAAAATGTTTTCCATTGTCTAACTAATTGACATCCTGACACCTGGACCCTTGCATATAATAATCATATTGTCAGTGGGTTTTCTTGTGTGTCTCTCCTCCCCCGCCTTGGTGTTTCAAAACAAGAACTTGTTTTGTAGCCCTGGCTAGTCTGGTATCATGTAGCCGTGGCAATCCTGCTTCAGCCTCCCAAGTGCCCAGATCATAGGTGCATACTTTTCCATCCAACTGCATATGAGTTTTCAGAAAAGGAAGTTTAAAGCTGCAATTTAAGGTCTGTATAGAGAACTAGGTTTGCTTTTCCCAAGTACTAGGAAAATTTTCTGACTAACTCACATTCACTGGCTTGTGAGCCTTAGTAAGATGTTTTTGTATTTGATATTTCCATCTCTTTGATAAAAATATCTTCTCATTTTATACTAACTGACTATGCACTAAGAACACTGAGGTGTTTCTTCTTTGGGGGGTGGAGGGGTGGGCCTATGGTATGGTCATTACAAAAAGGAAATAAGGATAATATTTATGAAGAGGGTTAAGAAATCCTACCATATTCTCATAGGAAATGAGGTTTTGGAACATTTAACATTGCTTCTGATTTTGAACGTGCAGAAAAGTTGATGCTGTGGGAAAGCTCGGTGGCCTTCCGTGCTCTTGGCAGTCACAATACTAATTCCCCTCTTAGTCCTTGTCAGGATAAGGAAGAGCAAAAAAACCCATGATGCAAATAACTTTCTTTTTTCAATTAAAAATTATTTTATTATTTTAATTTTATGTGTATGAGTGTATTATGCCTGCATGTATGTAAGGTGCACTTGTGTCAGGCATTGCCCTCGGAGGTCATGTGACCTCCAAGGGTAATGGATCCCCTGGAATTGGAGTTAGGATGGTTGTTAGTCTCCATGTGGGTGCTGGGAATAGAACCCAGGTCTTCTGCAAGAGCAGTCATTGCTCTTAACCACTGAGCCATCTCTCCGGCCCCTAAAAATTATTTTTATTTTATGTTTAGAATGTTTCGCCTACACGTATGTAAGTGCACCACATGCCACAAGAAGGCATTGGGTCCCCTGGAACTGGAGTTACAGATGGTTGTTAGTCACTATGTGGGTGAGAACTGAATGTCTTCTACAAGAGCAGTCAGTGCTTTTAACTCCTGAGCCATTTCTTCACCTTCCAAATCACTTTTCTTTTTTTGTTTTGAGATAGGGTGTCACTGTCTAGTCTTGACAAACCTGGAACTCAGGCTGCCCTCATTCACAGATCTCCCTGCCTCCTGAGTGTTGGAATTAAAGGCATATACCACCACACCCAGCTTTTATATTTTCTTTATATAAAATGAAGTTAATGCAATCTTGTTTATAGTCTATACTCCACCTCACTGTGTGTGACTCTGTGAGGCCAGAGGTTCTTTGCTTTTTGAGGGGATTGTTTTCTTTCTGTGGTTCTAGGGCACAAACCCAGGCCTTGGTAGACAAGTGATCTGCCACTGAGTTACACTCCAAGGTCCAGGATAATGGGTTTTATTCAGTATATTCTCAGCAGTATATCGGACAGGTATAAGCACATAGTAGGTGCTCAGTAAATCCTAGATTTCCCTTTTCCCTACCATATTAAAATGTTTTTCTGTATTATGTCATTTTGGGGTAGGGGGAGTGGTGCTGCCCATTAAACCCAGGGCTTCATACATGGTAGGCAAGCACTAAGCCAGCCCCCTAATATTTGCTTTTTTGTCTAGAGACTATGGTCATTTATTTCATCAAAGTTTTAGAAGACCCTGACTCCAAAAAAACTGAATTACTGGGTTAGCAAAAAGAAACAGCATTTTTTAAAGGTGTGTTTTTTCTTACTTGGGGTGGAGTTAAATGTCCTTAAGGGACTGACTTGGACTCTTGGTTTACTGTAAATAGGCTTCTGTGGGTTAAAAATGAGTGCCTTTTGCTCTAGGCTAGGCTGATCTAGGTAGATCTGGTTTCTGAGGGGTCCAGCACAACTAATGAAGACAGGTAGTACAGGTTTGAAACAAGATTCATCCAGAGAGGACAAATAGATCTTGTAGCTTTATAAACACCAGTTTTGATTAGTGTATTTAAAGTACTTTTTAAATATTACACTTATATGTAGGTGGGTGCATGCCATGGCATGATTGCAGAGATTAAAGGATAACTTTCTTTCTGGAGTTGGTTCTTTCCTTCTATTAAGTGGGCCCTGGGGGTTGAACTCAGGTCCTCAGTCTTGGCAGCAAGTGCCTTTACCTATTGATGCATTTTGCTAGCCTAGTACCTTATTTATTTATTTATTTTCCCAAATTGTGATGCTGGAGAGTGGAACTCCCAAGGTTTTTACATGCTAGGCGGGTGTTCTACCACTGAGCTATATTCCTAGCCCTAGTTAATTTTTGATTCCAGCTTAAGTTCCAAGAAACTTCTAAAAGAATTTGTGGAGACACTTCCTCACTCTGACCCCCTCCCTCCCAACCTCTGAATCTGTGAAGGCTGAATTTTAAGCAAGGGCAGTGGTTTTCCATATGTACAGCTCTGGGCTACCGATTCCAAATGTTTCGAGTAAAGTATTATCTGTGAAATAATTGTCTTATTTTATTTAATTTATTTTTTTGGTTTTTTTGAGACAGTGTCTCCCTGTAGCCCCAGCTGTCCTGGAACTCACTATGTAGACCAGGCTGTCCTTGAACTCACAGCGATCCGCCTGCCTCTGCCTCCCGAGTGCTGGGATTAAAGGTGTGCACCACCATGCCCGGCTGTTTTATTTTTGAGGCAAATCTCACTGTGTAGCCTTGGCTAGCCTAGGACTCTATGTAGATCAGGATGGCCTCAAACTCAGAGGTTTGCCTGCTTCTGCCTCCTGAGTGCTGGGATTAAAGGCATCTGCCACCATGCCCAGCTTGTTCCTTTTTTAAGCTTAATTTCCGTTTTCTTTTTGCAGTGCTGGGGATCAAACCCAGGGCCTCATGCTAAGCAAGTGGTCTACCACAAAGCCACACTTCCAGCTGCCCCACCACCACCACTTGCACATAGAGAAAAATAATAAAAAGAGAAGGGCAGAAGTCAAAACAGATTGTGTTGATATAGGAAGCCAGCTTTGGTTTTTTTTTAAAGATTTGTTTTTAATTTTATGTGTATATGTGTGTGCCTGGAACTGGCGTTATAGGCACTTGTGAGCTGACATTTAGGTGCTCAAACCTAGGTCCTCTGAAGAACAGCCAGCTTTTAACCACTGAGCCATCTCTTCAGCCCCAGAGGTTAGCTTCTGATACTTTATTGGAGTTAGAGAAGAGAAAGTGACAGGCATGAGGGGAATGTAGCATGGGTGTGTTTATATCAGTCCTCTAAAGTATTCCTAGTTTCTTGAGGTATGGTGATGTCCTGTTTATCCTTGGTAATGAATTATGGCAACTTTCTGTTTGCTAGGACAGATTCCAGATTGTAAGTTTTCCTGAGGATGGAAACTTTGCCATGTGTCCTTGTCAGCCCTGGTGTATAACAAACGTTCAATAAGAGATTGCTGAGTAAATCTGAAACGTTCATTGTCATCATCTTGTTGAATTAGAAAATATCTTTTCTCTCCTAGATTAAACACATGATGGCTTTCATTGAACAAGAAGCCAATGAGAAAGCAGAAGAAATAGATGCGAAGGTGAGGCTGTCTAGTTTGTCACTGCTTCCTACTGCTGTGTTCTGCTAAGCAATTTATGCTAGACTTATTTAAAATCACATAGGCTCAATAAGAGCATATCTGTATTTTTATAGGTTAGTGCACAGACTGGTTTCATTATATGTCATACTTGAACATTTTTAGGATTTTATTTATTTAAAGATTTTTTTTTTAAATTTTATGTTATGAGTTTTTGCTGTCTGTATGTATGTGCACCACATGCATGTAGTGTTCACAGAGATCTTTAGATGCCCAGGAACTAGAGTTATAGGCAGTTGTGGCCTACCATTTGGGTGTTGGGAACTGAACCTCAGTCCTCTGGAAGAGTACCAAGTACTCTCTAGCCCCCCCATCCCTTTTTTTCTTTATTTTTAAGTCTATGTCTCTGTCTGTCTGTCTCTCTCTCTCTCTCTCTCTGTCTGTGGGTATGTGCACATGAGTGCAGGTGCCCTCAGAGGCGGAGGTAGCAACCCCTGGAGCTAGAATTACAGGCACTTGTGAGGCACCTCATGTGGGTACTGGGAATTGAACTTAGGTCCTCTAGAAGACACGATCTTAACTGCTGAGTCATCTCTCTAGCTTTTAAAATTTTTAAAAAATTACATCTGTGGGTGCAGGAGGTCAGAGGATAATTTGCAGGTGTCAGTTCTCTTCTACCATATGGGTCCTGGAACTTGAACACCGTGAACTCCAGTCTTCAGACTTGAGCCATCTTTTTTTCTTAAAGAATTATTTATTTTGGGGGCTGGAGAGATGGCTCAGCAGTTAAGAGCACTGACTGCTCTTGCAGAGGACCCGGGTTCAAGTCCCAGCTCACATGGCAGCCAGTTCCAGGGGAATCCGAAGCCCTCTTCTGACCTCCAAGGTATTGCACGACACAGGTACACTCACATACATATAGGCAATACACTCATACACATTAAAAAAAATAAATAAACAGGGCTGGAGAGCTGGCGCAGCCATTAAAGGTGCAGGCTCGCAACCGAAAAGGCAAAGAGTTCGGTTCCCAGCACCCACACTTGTCTCTCCAGCTACCCTTTAATCCCAGCACACGGGAGGCAGAGGCAGGCGGATCGCTGTGAGTTCAAGGCCAGCCTGGTCTACATATGAGTTCCAGGACAGCTGGGGCTACAGGGAGACCCTGTCTCAAAAAGACCAAAAAAAACCAATAAAGTCTTTTTAAAAAAAAAAAGAATTATTTTTAAGCTGGGTGTGGTGGCATACGCCTTTACTCCCAGCAGAGGCAGGTGGATCTCTGTGAGTTAGTTCCAGGCCAGCCTGGTCTGCATAGCAAGTTCCAGGCCAGCCAGGGCTACAGGGAGACGTTGACTCAAAAAGACCAAAAAAAAAAAAAGCATTTATTTTTTATGTGTACGAGTGTTTTGCCTGCATGTGTGTAAGTGCACTACATGTGTGCCGATGACTAGAGTCAGAAGAGGGCGTGTATACCTTGGAAATGGAGTTACAAATGGTTGTAAATAACCACTTAGGTGCTGGGAACTGAACCTGGGTCTTGGGAAAACAGCAAGTGCTTTTAACCACTTGAGCCATGTTTCCAGCCCCAACTTTGAAGTTTATAAAAAGTGCTTCCACCTCCTGAGCACTGTGATTAAAGGGTGCACCTCTACACTTTGTTTCCACAGATTTTTTGTTATTTGTTCAGTTGGTTTAGTTTGAGATAGGGCCTTACTATGTAGTCCTGACTGGTCTGGAACTCACTGTGTATATCAGGCTGACCTTGAACGCACAGAGATCACAACACCTATAATTCCAGCTCCAGGAGATCTGACACACTCTTCTGGCCTCTGCAGGCACCCACATACATGTGGCAGAAACATACACATTAAAAATTTGTGGTTAGCCAGGTGTGGTGGCGCATGCCTTTAATCCCAGCACTCGGGAGACAGAGGCAGGTGGACCTCTGTGAGTTCAAGGCCAGCCTGGTCTACATAGTGAGTTCCAGGACAGCTGGGGCTACAGGGAGACCCTGTCTCAAAAAGACCAAAAAAAAGAAAAAAATTTGTGGCTGAGAGAGGCCTGGTGGTTAAGAGCATATTGCTGCTCTTGCAGAGGACCTAAAATTAGTTCCCAGTGCTCACGTCAACTGCCTTTAACTCCAGCTAGGGTATCTGAGGCCACCTGGTCTTGAAGAGCACCTGCACTCAAACATGCATATACCCATACACAGACACACATACATAGACATAATGGAAAATAACAAAATACATCTTTAAAATTAATCTTTGCCAAGCGTGGTGGTGCACACCTTTGGTCCTAGTACTCAAGCAGTAGAGGCAGGTGGATCTCGACTGCGATCAAGGCCAGCTTCATCTACATAGTGAGTTCCAGTTTCAGGCCACCTGGGGCTACAGGGAGACCCTGTCACAAAAAAAAAAACCAAACAAAAAAAACACAAAAAGAAAGAAGGACATAGTCTTTGACGATAACTCACAAAAAACAAAATTTTCTGTTTTATATAGGGAATAAGTGATCATATATAAGTATTCAGAGCTCAAAATAAAATGGGTGACTAAAAATTAATATTAACTCCTTGTAGGCAGAAGAGGAGTTCAACATTGAGAAAGGTCGTCTTGTGCAAACCCAAAGACTGAAGATTATGGAATATTATGAGAAGAAAGAAAAGCAGATTGAGCAGCAGAAGAAAATGTGAGTAGATCCTGATTATCATAGTGAACTAAAAAGTGTTTGTGCGGAGACAAGGTCTCATGTAGCCTGGACTGACCTTGAATTTTCTTTTTAAATATTTAATTATTTTTCTTTTATGTGTATGAGTGTATTGCCTGCATGTATGTGAGTGCACCCGTGTTGTGCAGTGCTGTGGAGGTCAGAAGAAGGCTTCGGATACCCCTGGAACTGGAGTTAAGGACGGTTTGTAGCTGCCATGTGGGTGCTGGGAATTGAACCTGGGTCCTCTGCAAGAGCAGTCAGTGCTCTTATCTGCTGAGCCATCTCTCCAGCTCCGACCTTGAACTTTCTAACAAATTCAGGAATGACAGGGATGATTAAGGGTCTGCAGATAGACCCTATCTCCACCACCCAACAACTACAAAAGATGAGAAAGAACATGAAAACCTCACAGGATTATTACAGCGTTATTTATTGTTTAACAAGTGTTCTCTGTATTCATATAGAAAGTTGTGCATTTTCTGCAGTCTTTGTTTTTTTATGTTATACTGATGTTCTTTCATATCTTTTGTAGTCAAATGTCCAATTTGATGAATCAAGCAAGACTCAAAGTCCTCAGAGCAAGAGATGACCTCATCACTGTGAGTAATTAGCCCCTACAGTTATAAAATTATAAAATGTTTATGCAATTTCCTTGAATAGAGAGTCTTTAGTTAACGTTTAGAAATTTGTTTGTGAGAGAGACAGACAGACAGAGAGATAGTGTCTCAATATGTGACTGGCCTAAAACCCCTGACCCTGCTGCCTCAGCCTTCTGAGTGTAGGCTTTACCGGCATGCACAACCGTAGTCAGTTTATGAATATTTTTTAGAGAGAAAAGCTTTTGTTCAGCAAATCGTTGAACTAGGTATTGATAAATGCTGACACAAATTATTTCAATTGAGTATTGTTATTCCAGTACTCAAGAGGCAGCAGCATCTCTGCAAGTTTGAGTCCAGCCTGGACTTTGGTGACCTTCTGAGCTTCCTGAATGTAAGACTCCTAGATCATACAACAGCGAGGAAGCTGTAGAATACATGAGGCTAGCAAGGTGGCATGGGATTAATATAGGGCCATGAGTGCAAGACTAAGAATCGCTTTTTGTTTTATTTAATGGGCAATAATAAACAGCATTCATGGTATGACACAATGCATAGGATAAATTTAACAAAGAAACAAGAATACTATTTTGAAAGTATTATGGTCTTTCAGGGAAGAGAGTAGAAACCTACAGAAATAGGCCACTAAGTTGAGACGGTCCAAGGTGTTGTATTATATTTAGGAACTGAAAGGCTGCCTGCTGTGTCACTGTTTGCTATGGAGGCCCAGCCTTCCTTATGAAGTGGAGAAATAAGAGTTGTAGACTGGGTGTGGTGATGCATGCCTTTAATCCCAACACTTGGGAGGCAGAGGCAGGCAGATCTCTGAGACTGAGAGGCCAACCTGGTTTACCTAATGAGTTCTAGACAAGCTGGGGCTACAGGGAGACCCTGTCTCAAAAAACCAAAATAAAATGTTTTAAAATGGAACTTAAAGTGAGTACACCTTATGTTTAAGAACTTTTTTTTCAAATATTTTATTTTTATTTTATGTGTATGAGTGTATTGCCTGCATGTAGGTAAGTGCACCTGTGTCATGCAATGCCTGCAGAGGACAGAAGAGGCCATTGGAGCCCCTGGAGTTACGGACAGTTGTAGCTGCCATGTGGGTGTTGGGATTCAAACCCATGTCTTCTGCAAGAACAATCAGTGTTCTTAACTGCTGAGCCATCTCTGCAGCCCCTGAAAACTCTTTCAATATAATCGTGTGGGTTGCATCCCCAAGCACCACATAAAACTGGGCATGGTGGTGGTGCATGCCTGTTATTCCAATACTCAAGAGGCAGCAGCATCTCTGCAAGTTTGAGTCCAGCCTGGGCTATATAGTGATAGACTGTCTCAGAAAACAACAAAAAAGCTAGGTGTGGTGGTGCATGCCTTTAATCCCAGCACTCAAGAGGCAGAGGCAGGCGGATCTGAGTTCCAGGCCAGCCTGATTGATCTACCTAATGAATTCCACGACAGCTGGAGCTACAGGGAGAGCCTGTAGCTCAAAAAACAAAAAAGGAAATAAGATCTGTGACTGTTTGAAACAACCCCATTGGGAAAGCTCGTTGGTAATCTGGGATAGAAAAGAATTGAATTCTTTGTGCTTTGACTGGTAAATTGTTCTGGCTTACTCCCTCCAGGCTGAGCATGTGCAAGTTAAATTGGAAGTCAGGGCAGTTTTGGAGTCACCTACGTGATTTTGGCTGTTTTGGTGTTTTTCTGAGACAAGGTGTAGCCTACCCTGACCTGGAGCTTCCTTTGTAGCTCAATCAAGCCTTGAGCTCCCCATGCTTCCACCTCCCCAGCAGTGCAGGCATATACTACTGTGCCTGGCCAGAGGGTCATGCGGTCCTTCCCCTTCTGCATTAGGATTGAAGATCTTTTTGTGTCTTATCAGTTGTGTAGGTTTCTGGACTGAGCAGATCTGTTGGACTGAACTCTCTGAAAAAGAATGGTATCTCAGGTTGGCTTTAGCTTCCTTGCAGAAATACTTGCCCAGTGCAAGAGGGGCAGGGGTGCTTTCTTATGTTAATAATGTATGTAACACAACATGTGTGTTGAGTGAAAACCCAGCAGTGAGGTGATGGGCATGAGCTGTGTGATAAGTAGATTATGTTTTTCTTTCCCATTCTTTGTAGGATCTGCTAAATGAGGCAAAACAGAGACTCAGCAAGGTGGCGAAAGATACGACCAGGTACCAAGTGCTGCTGGATGGGCTGGTCCTCCAGGTACGCTCATATGCCATGCTCATATGCTAAGTGTGCCGTGCACAGCCATGTTTCTGGGAGCATTTACGAACTCTTAGAGACTACTCCGTCTTCCCACTTTGACTTGTTTTTTCTTCCTCCTGTGCATTGTGCAGGATGGCGATGTTGTCTGGATGATGCTTCCAGGTTACTAGTCTTCATGCGCTTGTACTAGTCCTTTCTAACTCTCCAATCCAATCTGCCTTTAGCCTACAGCTTTAAACTTCCTTAGTTTGATTTCACCTTTAAAATGCTTTAAACCAAGCCGGGCATGGTGGCGCACGCCTGTAATCCCAGCACTTGGGAGGTAGAGGCAGGCGGATCTCTGTGAGTTCAAGGCCAGCCTGGTCTACATAGTGAGTTCTAGGACAGCTGGGGCTACAGGGAGACCCTGCTTCAAAAAGAAAAAAAAATGCTTTAAACCATTGTTTGGTGCTGAGGATATAGCTTACTGGAAAAGTAAGAACACTTGCCTAGATTGTGTAAGGCCTCCAGATTCAATCCCCAGTACTATAAAAAAGAAAATTTAAGAACTGGAGAGATGGCTCAGCAGTTACAAGCACTGGCTGCTCTTACAGAAAACTGGGATTCAGTTCCCAGCACCCACATGGCAGCTGATAAACCATCTATAACTCCAATTCCGGTTCTGGCTCCGTGAACATTGTACTGCATGCGTGTACTTACGTATATACAGGCAAAACACTCATACACATAAAAAAATTTCATTTAAGTTATAGGTTATGAATTTGACTTATGTTAACCCAAAATATTTGTCCTCTGTCTGGCTAATGGGACTCTATAGGAATTTGAATTTGACCACTGGGGCTCTGGGTCTGGACCTGATTGGTGACACAGGGTAGTCTTTCTGTGTTCTCATACTGTTATCTTTGGGGTGCTTACCAGGTAACACTTTAAAAAACTTCTGAAACATTGTCCTGCTGTCTCTGTATTTTATAGTTTGCGTTGTCCACTGATGGACTCTGATTACTTCTTACAGGGCTTGTACCAGCTGTTAGAGCCCCGGATGATTGTGCGTTGCAGAAAACAAGATTTCCCTCTGGTGAAGGTAAAGAACTCAGAATTTTTGTTTTAAAAGGCTGGGGGTGGGGACATTGGGGTTGGATGTGTGGTATGAGGCCTGTGGGTTCCATCCCCCAGCATCCAAGAAAGAACCAGATATGGTAGCAAAAGTATGTAATCTCATTACTCGGGGAGGTGGGGGCAGAACAGTCAAGAAGAGTTCAGGGTCATACATAGTAAGTTCAAGGCCAGCCAGGACTATGTAAAACATCTGTCAAAATAAAAGACCAGGCTGAAGATAGAGGTAGCTGTAAAGTGCTCTGAGTTCAGTCCCTAGTACTGTGGGGGGAAAAAAGACCAAAATGTTCCAGTGAAATGCATATGTATAATAGCTCAGTGCTGGGTACAGTAGCACATGCCTGTAGTTCTCTACTACTCTGGGGACTGAGCCAGGAGGATTGCTGGAGTCCAGGAGTTTAGAGATTGGCCTGGGGATCTTAGCAAAACTGTCTGGAAAAGGAAAAAACAAAAGCAGCAAACATGTTGGTATTTCCATGTCCAGCACTGGCAGGAGGATAATGGTGTTAGGCCAGCCTGGGCTAAGTGAAGCCGTGTCTCAGAAAAACAAAAAACAATCCACTACATTGTATACCTAAAATAGATAGTTCAACCATAAGAATCAGAGGAGTTGGTTACGTTCTGGGCTGTAATTTTAAGCCCCTGGTTTCATTTTCTTTCCTCCTTTCCCTTTATTTTACCTTTATTTTATGTGTATAAGTATATTGCACCCATGTTGTGCAGTACCTATGTAGACCAGAAGAGAGTGTTGGATCCCCTAGAACTGGAGTTACAGGTGGTTGTTAGCTGCCATGTGGGGGCTGGGAACCTCAAACCCTGGTCGTCTACAAGAACACCAGTGCTCTTTAACTGCTGAGCCATCTCTCCAGTCCCCTTTTCCATTTTTTCCTACAAGATCTCACTATGTCGCCCAGGCTGACTTAGAACTCTGAGCTAGTAACCTGCTTCCTGTTCTGGGAGCTTTGCCAGTATCACAGTCTTGAAGTCAGATAGTTAGAGGTACTCTCCTGGGCTGGAGCGAAGAGGCCCTTGTAAGGAAGCAGCCATTGCCGGATAAATACACTCACACATCTCAAGAAAGAATGTGGCACAGACAAGGATCTGATTGCTCTGATTATTGTTATGGGGTGCTCTTGAGATTGACACTCCTCTCCCATCACTTGCTTTGGGGCAAGGGTATGAATACCATGTTCCCTACAATTCCATTTGTGTCATACATTAGTACATTTGTAATTAGAATTCTTTTTTTTTTTGTCTTTGATATGATTTTATTTTCTCCCTTCAACCATAATTATATGATATCCAAATTTTGTCTTAATTGGCGGGTCTGTAAACACAGGCTTATCCATCCCACTTACAGGCAAGGCAAATGCCGCTTCTTGAAATGGTCCCACCATGGACCCTCTGGTCATCCAACCCAAGTCACCCCCTTGCCTGGCTTTATCTTCACTATATTGTGTGGCCACTTCGCTAAATCTCATTCCAGATTTTAACTTTTCCATGGCTTCCATTATTTTGCCGTGTTTTTCACACAGAATGTGTCTGACCTTTACCGCACTGCCACCACCTTTGGGGCCATGAGCCTTCTTATCAGCACTGTCACTCCCAGAGGCTGCACCTCCTTTTCCCCCTTTTCCAGAACCACTTTTTCCTTTGGGCGGCATCGTCTACGCTTGCTGTAGAACTCTCAACTCTTCTAGTGGGAGTCTGTAGTTAGAATTCTTATGTTATGTCTCCCTAAGAAACTTGTATCCTAGGAAAGAAAATGTACCATAGGGAACTTAGGTGTCCATTCCCCTCAGTTATGGACTGTATTGTAAGAAATTGTAGTTTGCTTCATGAGCCATTTCAGTTGCTTGGATCCATGTCTGTTGACACCACATTCTGAACCTTCAGGCCAGGCTTGACATCACTGTGCAGAATTCCCCAAGGGAGTAGTGGTCTCTGGAGGTGTGAATAAGCCAGCTAGCCTTCCCTAGGTGACACTGATATTTCCCTGAACTGAGCAGACTTTTTCTTGAAACTTCTGTAGAGTCAGTGCCCAGGTCTGGGTTGCTCTCCACAGTGTTGCTGCATTGCATTGAGGAACAGTTAGCTATTGAATGTATGCATGTATGTTCAACTATATGCTAATGTAGTATTTAAGTGAAGCAAAGTCATGCAGAGGCTCTGAAATATCTGCATGACTTCTGCCTACATAAGTTCAGTCTGGAATTTTTTTGTGGAAGTGCATACAGTTGAACGTTTCTACCCATAGTACACAAAAGCTCTCATTTCTCGCCATCTTGCCAACACTTTAACTGTAGTTGTAAGAGGTACGGTGGCACCACTAGACAGGGTCTCCCTGTAGCCTCAGCTGACCTGGAACTTACTATGTAGACCAAACTGGCCTTGAATTCACAGAGATCTGCCTGCATCTGCCTCCCAAGTGCTGGAACTAAAGGCGTGAGCCGCCATGCCTGGCTTAGCTGCAGCTTTAAGCTCAAGCCAACAGCCAGATTGTCCTGCCCCACACCTGTCAGTCCTGTCTTTTGCATGTTCAATCAGCTGCCAAGCCCATTGATCACACCCCATCTTCCTCCTGTGTTCACCATTCTCAGGAATGGCACCGTTTGACACCTCAGCAAAGTATGCTTTTACTTGAAATAAATAGGAATATCCTTGTTTGTATGATCTGTTTGTTTGTATGATCTGTTCCTTGTCAGGAGGGCAGGTCCCTGCTCCATAATCCCTAGTAAAATCTTTAATTTTCTGGTTTTTTTTTTTTTTTTTTTTTCCTTCAGGCCGCAGTACAAAAAGCAATTCCTATGTATAAAATTGCCACCAAAAAAGATGTTGATGTCCAGATTGATCAGGAGGCTTACCTGCCTGAAGAGATGTAAGGAATGTTCCTATTGCGTCTGGCTTCTTACTGTGAGAATGACTTTGGCCCCGAGTCTGTTAAAAAGTGTTTGACTGATGTGGCTCAGTGGTTGAGCCCATGCCCTGAACCCCAAATAAGAAAAGTGTTTTCTTTAGCAAGGTCTTTCTTGCAAGGGTAGAGTTGTGGTTGGTTCCCCATGTGCACATGACTGTTTTCCTGTCAGAGCTCTCCTTGTACCAGCACATCTTCCCTATAAGCCTGTCTTGTGGTCAGAGAGGTAGTGTTGCCACTGCTTGATCCTGGAGCTGGGTGGAGAGTTCTGTGTGGATGTGGGGGGAAGACAGTCCTAAGCAGCTATTGAAAATAAGAATTGATGCAGACAGCAGACTCATTCTAATAACTGCAGGATTTCCACTGACTGAGGAATTGACAGCATTTCCAGGACCAGAGCCTCTAGTAAGCGTCACAAAGATGGGGTCATGCTTTAGAAACTCCTACGAGGGTAGAGCTGGATGATTCCCTGCATTTTGCCTGTCTGTCCAATGTCACATCACCACTACTTCCTAACATTGGATGGGATTTTGGGGGCATGTTATGAACTTAATGGGAAGTGTATGAAGCAACTTGAGAGCACTGTCATCAGAATTGGCCATGGGGGTTTGTTTTGTGTTTGTTGAACCTAGGACGTCATGATAGTCAGATTTGAGTTTGCTTCCCATTCTGCCACTTACTGTCTGCGTATCTTGGACTGCTTACTTATTCTCACTGGGCCTTAACTTCATTTCTTTTTTTTTTTT